TTCTTTACTCTGTCTTCTAAAGATGCTCTCAGCACAGCCAAGTGGCACTGGGCTAAGATGCTTTACACTTGAGAGATGAAGTAATAACAGGTGGCAAGAGCGGAGGCTGCTGAAGCCCAGGATGCCGGTTGCCATGGAAACGTGTCAGACCTGTAGAGGGACACAGGAACTGTCAGCATGGGAGTGGTGGGGGACAAGTGCGAGGAGTGAGGAGAGGCACATCTTTTCCTGGAGGACTTTGCACACGGCCCTCAAGTCTTCTAAGGGCTGCACACCCCGGTGCGGCAGGCCCTGCATAAACAGCTGCTGTGCTAGGGCAGGGGCTAGGGCTGGCTGGGGGTCCTGCTTGTCAACCCCGGGCCTGGCAGCCAGTCCCATGGTCTGCTCAGAATGCAAGGCTGGGCCTTTGTGTACGTGCCAAGGAGGAACCTCCACTTCCGGCCTGTTTCCTGTTTCCCTGGGACCAAGAGGGTGCAGCAGATCGGGGCTCTACACAACCCAGGTGAGGGGCTTTTGCAGACAGCCCACCCCGCTCATTCTTTTCACGAGTGGCAGGAATCATGCAGCAGAGGTTGACCTGGCAGGGGGAGAGGCAGCCGGCGTGGCAGCTTTCTGGAAGATTTGCTACCTTCTTTACCATAGATATAAGTCCTGATTACACCACGCATCCCGTTGCGCGCACTAATTCCCTCCTAGAATGCCTGCCCTCCCTTCCCTGAGTGCAGGGAGAGATGCTTTGAGGCTTAGCTTTTCTTTTCCCTTGCTTTGAGTTACTTGAATGCCCCTCCCACCTTTTTTCCCCTGAATTTCTTCCTATACACTGTACCTGATTTCCTTTTTTTGTTTTCCCTCTGAGCTGCTTTAGTTATCTCCCTCAGGTCAGTTCCCAGCCTCTTAAGGCTTACTTTGTTTTCTCAGAAGCTTACTTGTATCTCTTCTACGATCTCAGCCCGTGAACATTAATCAGCAGTAAACCAAATCCATCACCATGGACTCTGCCATCGAGATACCGCTCGGGTCTTTGCCCTCCCTGTCATCTTATTCTATAAAGTGGGACCCAATTTCCCATAAGCAGAAGCAGGATCTCTATTTAAATCCTGCTTGCAAGGTCTGGGCGAACTTCCTATTTATAGTAAAATCCTTTTTATAATGATCTCATATATGGTACCAGGAAATTGCTCATGGCTGGGTCAGGCCATAGGCCAATCTAGCCATGGTATTTATTAGCTTGACTTAAAAACATTCCTTCATGAGCCTCTGGAACCCTCCAGGGAAGTGTTTTCACAGATGATATGAAAATATACAGGGTCACTCAGATGGATTACTTAATGAGGGACGTTAAGTTTAAGTTCAAAAGGACTATCTGCTTTTATCAGGCCAATCTCCATAATTTTTTTTTTTTTTATCACTTGGGGCTTTGTAAATAACATATTGGGTGAATCAAGTTGACTGTAGAGAGATTTATGAAATACTTGATATGCATGGAATAGCCAGGTAGTGTTTGTGTCAGGACTCCCCTGGAGGCAGACAAGTGCGGTTAGAGGTAGAATCTCTCAGGACGTAGACAAACTGGGGTGAATCCTATCTCTCCCTCTTTGTAATTTAGACGTGAGACCAGCACCCTGATCGCTTGGCTATCAGTGGCCTTGTGTGTGCAATAATTTCTGTTCCACGAAGGTTCTGTGAGAATCAATGAAATAGTGTACATTGTGCGTACAGCGAAGCATTGTTGGTGCTGTGTACTAAACGAGCAGGTGACCAAGACGGAGGCTGAGTGGGCAGCTGTGACCTGGTGTCTCTCAAGAGACAAGGAAGTATGCGCAGACCCTGGGAGCTGGCCTGCAGTCCAGGTCAAGTGACCAACCCAGCCAGCTCTTGTCTTTGAGGAGTTGAGAAGTGAAGCAAGGGCAGTAAATGATATTCAGAACAACAGATGCCTCTGCCACAGAAAAGCAAGCACAGTGCTCCGTCCTCACAAGGAGCAGTTCCCAGGGGCATCTTCATGTGACAGCAAGAGGAGGAAGAACATGGCTAGCATGCAAATCTGCAGATGCCCAGCCACTCATATAAAACGCAGTAGGGTCTACACAGGGCCTGGGCATGCTCTGTTCTGTTCTTTAGGCCATGTCTGTGTAGCTCTGCTATCCATTTCTAAGCCATTCACCCCACAAATTGTTGGTGACCGTTTCCAGCATACAAACACATGGCGGGTCCAGCAATGAGGTGAGCGAGGCCCTGGGCTGGAGGAGTCAATCATTTAGTGTGGGGACGAGGCACACGTGTGTCAGTAGGAGAAGGGGCATAACCGCGATGATGATAGACTCCCTCCCCAAAGCATGAGTGCTTATTCCTAGCTGGGAATTGGGAGTTCTCGGTGGGAGAACCCTCGCTCTGACAAGAGTTCCAAATATCAAAATGTGTATGCGAGGCGAGGCGGAGGTATTAGTCTCTCCTACGGCATTTTATCAGGATGGAAGGATGCTTTGAGCTCATTGTGTCAAGGAGTGAGCAGGAACCAAAACAAAAATTTCTTTGGAGATAAAGCATAACTGTTTGCTGTCACTTTCTATACTGGTCCATTGCTAGACCCCAGTGGACCTGCTGCCCAGCGTGTCCCAGCTGCACATGTCAGGGCTCACAAGTGGGATTTTATCATCTTGCCCATAAGCCCGAGTGGGCACTTTGTGGAGCTGGCAACCGACACAGATGCGGGGCCCTACGTGAACTCTGTCTCATTAGGAACTTTTTTTGTTCAGATAAATTAAATTCTGCTCCTTTGGTCTTTTTACCTACGATCCTTTGCTACATCGCCTTCTGCTCTGCTGGGTCATTTCTGAGTTCTTCTTTGTTGCTGTATTGTAGTTCTTGGCACAGTAGGGTAGTCTACCAGTAGTGTGAATGCTGTAAATAATTACGCTGTCTATTTTACTTCATTTTGATATATCACAGGGGCTAGAGTATGCTGGGGACCATCAGATTCTTTGGTTGCTCAAAGATTTTGTGAAAGGCCAGGAAACCTTGAAGTCCCTAAGAGTATAGGTGAAAGACCAATGGCGAACTGGGCCCCCCGAGAGTTTTGGGGTGATATCCACACATGGGATCCTTTCATGGCCTTTACGCAGGAAGCACTGTCAGTTGTGATTGGCATCCGAACATTCGAGACCCAGTTCCTATCGACTTGGCTGGAGTTAACCTCTAGCCCCCAATTTTCTTCATTCCACCTCTGATTTATGGTCACCATTTGATAGTTTTCCACTAATCTTTTGGTGAAGAGATCCTGTGCGTCCTTGCTTCCTAGATGCGATTAGATTGTTCTCAGGAAAGTTCTTAAAATGGTGAAGGTGGCATTTGCAAGAGAATGAAGAGGGCAAGGTTGGTAGTTCTAGATTTGGGCGAAATGCATCTGACAGGCAGAACAATGGGTTTTCAGATGCACTGGCTTCATGAGATTATTTGTAAAGCTACTCTATAGCCACGCAGATGTCTTCAAGCTCTAGTGGTGGAGGAAGAAAAGCCCATACTCTGTATACCTCGGGGTGTGGTCCAGCTTCCCTTCCTCCCCGAAACAGCCGACATTTTCTCTGCAGAGAACTGTCTGCCTCCCTAAAGATGGAAATCAATGACTTAGAAACTGATTAAACAATCCAAATAGCAACTGATAAATGGATTAACCCTCCATAATATAATTCTGCTAGCTTTTGTCTTCCGCATTCCCCAGGTAAGTTTTCTATTCCTGGAGGCAAAGCACAGGCGTGGCAGAAGCGAAGGCCAGAGGGAATCACATTAAAGTGGGTGAATCTGTTTATCACCTACTGTCTGGATGGCATTTCTACTCACATATCTGCTTTCTTTTACAGATTTGTACCCTTCGGGACCCTGATTAACGTTAGCCAGTGAATAATGAGAGGTAGCAGCAGATGTTGGGATGCCAAGGAGGGAGATAGTGGGGAAGGCTGATTCCACAAATGGAGAGATTATTCTTTTCCTGTTATTCGCAAACAAGGGAGTAAATGTGACAAATGCCCACAATAAGAGGAAAGAAGCACAGAGAGATGGGAGCATTTCTCCCATGCAAAGAGCCTGTCTGAGGCTTTTCAATCAGCCCTTGAAACAGAATGGTTTGGGAACCCAGCGACATGTGCTGCTCTTACAAAGCTGTGTCTCTGAGGCCAGGCCCCAGAAGCCTTCTTTGCCTTTGCTCAGGGCCACTCCGCAGGGGCTGTTCATAGAGTTAATACTGCAGCACTGATCATTTAGCCCATCAGATGTTCACCATTTGACCCGTCTCTGGCATGAGACTGAGCTAAACGCCTAGTGATCTTGTGTATGGGTCTAATTCCGGGCACTTGGGCTCTGCAGATCAATGTGTCCTGAGTGGGTTTTATCAATAATGAATCTTCAGGAGATGAGCCTGGACAAGAGCAGATACCTGTGGACCTTCCAAGAGGTCCACCGAAGTCCCAAAGAACTTCTCCAGTGTGCTTTCTGGAAGTGACCAGCTATGGGTCATTTTGCTTTTCAGGGATAGGCGCAGGGCTGTTTCCTTCATGAAAACTTTTTTATTTTTTTTAAAGAGCAAGATCCAGGATTGAGTCTTCTTCCTCCTTAGCCATTACTATTTATGGATTCCATGAGATGTTTGGGGTCTTGGCTTGAGGATTGGTTATTCAAGGTTGACAGAAGCACACTTGACTAAGAATACTTCTGGATGGATTACTTATCTAGAGATGCAGTCAGAGGAGCAAGGGAGTTTCGATCAAAACTGCTGGGAAATATTGCAGAAATTAAACTCTGGAAGGCTTGAAGGCATTAATCCCATTGAACCAAGAGGGATCCCAAAGAAAACCCAGCCTAATATCACAACGTGGCTGTAACAAATCCTTAGATTTGCACCTTTGTATTCTTTCTGGAGTGGATGTGGCCACACTGTGGGAGGAGAAGAAGGGGCAACAGGAGCACCTCTCAGCCTAAAAATAGAATGTACTTTCATGTTTCCACAGCCCAGAAAGGACCAGATGGGACAGTCATTCCCAATAACTACTGTGACTTCTGCTTGGGGGGCTCTAACATGAACAAGAAGAGTGGACGGCCTGAGGAGCTGGTGTCCTGTGCAGACTGTGGACGCTCTGGTGAGTGTGGCCCCTTCCTGCATTGTGTGGCATAGGCCAGGAGCTCTTCTGCTTGCATCCCTCTGCCATCTTGCTGGGGAGGGGAGTAGGAATAGAGAGAAGAAGTGATGATGGTGATGATTTCTAGTGGAGAGGGTTTTTAAAGATCCTTTTGATAGTTTTTTTTCTTTAGGTCTTGAGAACTGAAAGTTATGCCTTGAGTTCCAGGGTAAGAGTCAAGGAAGTTTCAGCTTGTGTCTGGCCTCTGAGGTGGACATTACTTTGTGTGTATTGTTGAGGCCATAGCAAAGTAGAGGGGAAGAACATGGAGACGCGTGCTTTCACACAGCATGCTTTCTTGTACTGGATGACGTACCTGTGATGGAAAGATGTGTATGTTCTGTGGAAGAACCTGGGGGCAGTCCAAGGGCGTATGAGAACAGGGACCTTGGGAAAGTAGCCACTTGGAAATGTGGAAATCTGGGGTCCCTGGGCTCCCGGGCGGCTGTGTAAATGCATCACCTTCACTGGTCATTCATCTCATTTTCTTGTGGAGCAGAAAAAAGAGCCTCATAAATCAAGGAGGCACTGCTGTATTCCTGGGGCTAATCTGGAGTTTACTTGGTGTCTTCCCTCCCCCATCTTTAACTTCTCCAAAGACTAAAATATCTAAAAGAGACTCCTTCATTCTTGAAATGAGCGCAGGTCTTTGCTATTATTTCAGTTTTTGGCTCTAATTCATGCTGACCGTGCATGGTTGGTTAGTGCTGCCTACTTTTTATATTGCTCTGTGTCACAGCTGGACCAATGCACAAGGGGGAGCGAGGGCTTCAGATGTGCCATCGGCTTCATCAAGTGCTGACCAGTGGGGGAAGTAGTGGGTTGGACAGTGGGTCCAGCGTGAGGAGTCTTTGCCCCTCACCACCTTTTGACCCAATCTCATTTCCATTCCCAGCCTCCAGGCAAGGACTGGGATGAACAAATCTTGGTTTATTACAGCAACTAGGTCCTTGCTTGCTCTGCTGGAAAAAAAATCTTAGCATTACCTCTTCTACATTTTGAAGTCAGGATTGTTGGGGCCTCAAGCCTGCCTTGAGTGGGAAACTGGTCATTGAAAAAGGGCTTGGTTTCCATTGCGCATGGCCCCCAACATTTAACTCTGAGTGGGTTTGCCAGGGGACCCTGTGTGCCATTCTGTCAGTTCATACCCGGTCCAAACAGGATACCTAACCCTGAACTCTGTACTCTGTTGAAGCTAGCTCAGAAGATAGGACCCTCATGGCGGTAAACTCTGGTTTTTAGGTACTTAAAAAGAAAATCAAACAAATGAAATTTAACTCCGTGTTTTTCAAGAGCAAACAATCAGACAAAATCTCTACTACCTGAAGGAAGTCATTTGGTGGAGTGCTGCTCGAAGCAGGATACGATGGGCTGTTGTAGGTTCAGATGACGTTGGAGACAGCGTAGACACATTCTCATTGCGAACTGCTCGAATTTCCCCCTTTTCTATCTTATAAAAGCTGGGTGCTTGCATCTGATCCAGGGGTGTCAGAGGTGGGCGGTGGTTTTAGCCTACACTCAGCCTGTCTTTCTACACCTTTACTCAGCTTTCCTTTTCTAGGTTTTGTCTGTGGTGTGATTCAGGAGGCCACTTTTTTAAAAAGATGGGGTAGATATTTTCTTTACAGTTGCCAAGGATTAATTTTGGTGGATCACTTAGCTAAGGTGTGACTGTGATGTTCCTGAAACAGTTGAACCCCTGGGAGCACACAGGTGGCCTTAGCCCATGTCTGCTAAGGCAGGTGGGCGGATTCTTCTCTGGGGCCTCCCCAGGGTCTTCCCAGGGAAGAGGATGGAGCGTGGAAGAGCTGCTTTTCCTGCCCACCTACTCCACTGCTTCTGTTTCTGGAGATAAAGTGGGACGCTTGAAACTGGTCCTCTGAGAGGCACGTACATCTTTACTGTCCGGGGAGGCAGCTTGGAGCCTGTTAGAGAATTTAAGAGCTTAATGCTGAGTTTTACTGATTTTAAGACCCTTTATCATATTAGGCCTTCAGGTCCTCTTTCTCACCTTCTTACTGTGTTGAGTTAGATGAGACAATCTGAACCTTCTGAAGTAACTAAGACCTGGGCTTGTTTAATGGTGTGTGTGTGTGTGTGTGTGTGTGTGTGTGTGTGTGTGTATGTGTGTATGCACACTTGTATGTGGGTGCAGATCACAGGTCCTCTACTGGTAAGGACAACAAGAAACTCTTGGGTGACTGGCCAGTTATCAGACTTTCCAACTTCTTTTTGCTTTCAGTGCAAATGAACCACCCGGTGTAAGGGTAGAATTGAAAGGGTTCTGAACAAATGGGATTAGAAGCGAGGAAAAATAAAAACAAGATGGACTTAAGCACCTTGCATGGGTTGTCTGACAGTAATACCTTTGTAAAGCTGACTGTCAAAGTGATGGACAAACACTGTTCAAAGCAGCATCAACTGCAAACACCACAGAAACGCCAACAGGCTTAAAACCACCGAGCAAAGCGTGGTCTGGGGCAGGGCCGAGTGAGCGTGCATGTGGAAGAGGAGAGAGATCCTGCCGCTTCTCTGGCTGTCAGGAGCTGTGGACATGTGTATCACAGCAGAAATGACGCCTTTGCGGGGGAGGGAGCTGCGTGCTGTGTCCCACACCCATCCCGAGGTGCTGCACCTGGCGAATCCCTTTTGGTGTGGCAATGGTTTGTTATCTTGCTATTAAGAATAGCATTGTAATAACGTAATGAGAATATTAATGATACTGTCTGTTGCTTAACCCATGTGCTGATATATTCATCGTACGTGTCAGCTCATTTGGGAGGAGAAGGCAGGAAGGAGAAGGAGGCAGCGGCCGCGCCACGCACCACGGAGGACTTGTTCGGTTCCACGTCAGAAAGTGACACCTCAACTTTCCACGGCTTTGATGAGGACGATTTGGAAGAGCCTCGCTCCTGTCGAGGACGCCGCAGTGGCCGGGGCTCGCCCACAGCAGATAAAAAGGGCCGCTGTTAAGCCCACGGGATGGACTGACTGTGCTCTCGGCCACCCCCTGACTCTGGTCATTGTTCTGGTTCTGATATACGTACATATATATATATATATTTTTAATGAAAGACAACTTAAGTTCTTAAGTTTCCCTTATCCTTGCCTTTTTCTCCCGCCGTCCACGCGCCCCTTTCCACGGCTACCCCTCTGCTTTGGGTATGTGCAGCGGAAGTGCCAGCTACCGAAACCAACGAAACAAAGAGCAGAACGAGGGTTCTTCAGAGAACTGCCACGTCTGTGCGCTATTTGTGTTCCCTAGAAATAAGAAATTAGGTGGATTTTCTCTTTTAGGGGGAGGGGATCTTTTTGACATGAGCAGAGTTGATTTCCTCAGTTTTCATATTTATTGGTAAAATGAAGGGAAGCAGAAACACTGGGTTTGGAAACAAAAGAGCCAATAGCGCTAAAAATTATTATTTATATATGCCAGCTATTATTAGAATCAGACTTTGAGAGAGAGAGAGGGGGAGAGAGAGAGAGAGAGAGAGAGAGAGAGAGAGAGAGAGAGAGAGAGAAAGGGAAATCAAAGAAATCGAAGCAATATCCTGTTTAAAAGCAAGCCGCTGGGGGAGAAGTTCCTCACGGGTAGATGATTGCATTTTCGTGCCCCGTGGAGTCCTGGCCTCCCGTGGCCGACCGGGTTCCCGTTCTCCTCCCTGACCTTTCTGTCTTCCTGTCTGTGAGAAAATGTCGGCAGTCCCACAGAGACCCGGCCGCCCGGCCTGGCCTCCCTCCGCAGGCCCTGGCCTCCTCTGCTCGGGCAGAGCTGCTTTTCCTCGGTGCTGGGTTTTCCTCCCTTTTCCTCTTGGAGAAGCGCGACTCCCAGGCGCAGGAACCGACCGCCAGCACAAGTCAGTGGCCGGACGTGCAGTGGCCTCGCCTTGGGAAGAGGAACGCAAGCTCGCGGGGCATTTCCCTCCCCAAGCCCCCGTGTAAAGACACCTCGCTGCCTGTTGGATGGTCCGGCCTCTTGTGTTTCTTCTATTTTTTTCTTTATAGTGCCCGCGAGGCACTTTGTTTTATGTCCCCGATAGCAACTCTTGAAAGAAACCAAAGCGACACGTACTCAAGGCCTGTGGTACAGAGTAGACATCCACCACCTGGTTGGAGCTCCAACATCGAACAGCTTTGCGGCTCTGCCCTGAAGGTAAGTCCTGGTTTACCTGTCTTATGAAGAGGGCCAAACCATTACAGTTTTCTTTTGTTTTGGTTTTTCAATTCTGTTTCTGTCTTTTCCTTTCCTTTGGTACCCCCAACCCATCCCAGCTTATTCTTTTGTTTACCTGGGTTCTCACTCCTTAGCGTGGCAGTGGTTCACTGGAGTGTTCTGTGGTCCCAGCCCGTGGTGGCCTGTGCATGCCTGAGACGCCTCCCCACCTGGGCCTGATGTGGGGCTGAGCTTGCCTGGACGAGGAGGAGGCGCTCTGTGGGCAGGATGGAGGGCTTTCTGGGTTTGGCCTTCACTGCAAGAGAAGCTGGCTGGGAAAGCGCTTGGCTGTGCCGCCTCCCTTGGCTAAATTAGGGAGGAAGTGAGTTCCGGGAGCTGAGGTTGGAGCCGGCCTCTGGGCCGGGCAGGAATCAGGAGGTGCAGCCGCGGGGCGCAGCCGCAGGGCGCAGCTGCAGGGTGCTGCGAGTCCCAGTAGTGATCCTTGCTGTAGACATCGATTTCATAGCCGAAGGCGTGAGTTAAGTGAAAGATCCCCAGGCAGGCGCAGCTCTCACCTTGGCCATGCTGGAGCGTTGCCCGCCCACCACGTGTGGCCGGGCCTCGGGCCTCCAGGAGAGCCCAGCCTGCAGGTGCTGGCAGGGCCGGTTGACTCGGGTGAGGAGCTCCAGGTGGCTCCTTGGCTTCCGTGCTACTTTTCGTGTGTCTGAACAGATCCACTTCGACAATCCAGTCTTTGCTGATGCCCCTGAATTAAACTCACTGCAGAAAATCCCTGACAGCTCCTTAT